GGGACTGAAAACCGTCCAAAAGAAAACATGGTTCGGAGTTCGGAGGAGATAAAGGAAGCGAAGATGGGAAGGAAGCACAAAATGATTTGTGTCAAGTAAAAACCAAAATCAAAGTAGTCAACTATGATGAGTTCTTATTGATTGAAGGGGGAGCTGAGTACGTAATAGTTTGGTGAGTGGGAGTAGAGCCGGGAAAACAAATGGGAGATGGGAAGTGACTCAGAGACAGAAAACAAATGTTTGGTGACCTGTTTTTTGGATAATGTGGAAGATCTTTTGAAAGATTATGGTTGAGAAGATCGATGAGCTTATTTTGAAAGATTATTTAGACAAAAAAATCCGGTGTCAAATATTGAATCCTGGATTGTTCGAGATTATTCCCAAATTTCAATAAACACATTCAATTGAACCATGTTTTCTAATTTGGAATAACTGAAATAGCTCCTTGAAAATAACAAAAATTTCCATAAACACTAAATAAATGCTCTGTATACATCATGATTGAGAGGGAATTAGTAAGCTTTGATTTTAATTATGTGTCAATGGCATGGGAAGAGAAAAACATTAAAATCCAAATATTTGAAGAGCATGGATGAAGATGCTCTTATCAACCAACTTTTTCCGTAACCTAATCAATTTGGTCGGAACTTAATCATTTTCAACATAATAAAAAGATTCTTCCAATTTGAGTGTTGTCGATCAAATGAGGTCTAAAACCGAATGGTAAGGGATGGGAGTATGAGGGAGGGGGAAGGGGTTCACAAGTTTATTTTTTCTTTTTTTTTTTAAACACATGTTGTACTACATAGTTTATTTGGGAGTTTCAAAGGGGTGTGTTTTATAAAAAGTTATTTAAAAACACTTAAAAAGTTGCAATGTTACTGAAAGAGAATCTAAGGAGACGTCAAAATGAAAATTAAGATATGAAAATTCTTGGATCTAATTTGGTGGGGAAACAGGTAATAGGTAATTGAGAAACAAAACATTTTTTATAATATTAAAATTGATTGAATCAGTTGAATTTGATGAAATTGATGAACTTTTGACTGCATTAGCTAATTGGTTGACTTTACCAAAATATGAAAAAATTATACTCAAAATATATTAAAAGTGTTCACTTTGTGCACTCTTTTAAAAGTGTTCATAAAAAATATTAGTATAACTAATTATTACTACCTTCGTCCCTTTTTATTTAGCCAACTTTGACTTTTCCGGTCAAATATGATAAACTTTGATCCATTATTTTACCTAATATATTTATTTAAAAGTTAATAAATATATAACCGGTCAAAGTTGAACAACTTTGACTTGAAAAATAGGGTTTGGCTTAATAAAAAGGGAGAGAGGGAGTGTTGGGATATATTATCCCGGCCTATTACTGTTCAGAAGCCCAAGACATTATCCAGTACGGAGCCCGAGCAGCTAGGTCCATTTCGGCCCATTCTGGCCCACTTTGGCCATTAGGCCCGACATCGGCCCGTTTGGCCCATTAGGGTGGAGTACTTCCCTCACCCCTTTCCCTATTTATAGGAGGTTTTCCCTCCATGTAAAGGAGCTTTTTCTTCTTCCTCCTTCTCACTAGAATAGCTTAGAACTCCATTAATGGGAGCTTCAATACTTGTACTATGTAATGGTGAGGAGAGACTAATGAGAATGAGAGGGCTTGGACATTAGCCTAAAAAGTCCCGTGGTTTTCTCCCTTTCGGGTTTCCACGTAAAAACTGAGTGTTCATACATATATTTACTATATCGTGTTGGATTAAACTCAACACGATAATAATACCTAATCACTTACTTTCCTCCTTGATCCATATTACTTGCTAGTTGGGCTAGATATTCATACACACTCCACTCGAAATCCTTGGGCTTACGTGTTGGACCCGAGGGTTGAAGGAATAAACCTCAACAGGGAGTATTATTTTTTAGCTAAATAAATAGTTAGATTGTTAGTATATGTTGTGAAGTAATTATAAATTAGTTTGTACAAATATACAAGTTAGTATTTGTATTAGTTTGGTTATTTGTATATTATGTTTACTTACACTTCTATTCAAATTAATTATATTATTATTAGGAGCATATTTAAATAACTAAAAAACGTCATAACACGAATATATTATTGTCCCGTGCATCGCACGGGTACAATACTAGCAACTATATTAGATCAGTATATTGTGAAATCTACAACAAAAAATAAAGATACATGACCAATTCGTATGACATTGATAAGCTTTTAGTAAACTTGTTCCATATATTAATAAAAATCAATATTCTTAGGTGCACACAAAATCAGGTTTTACAATTTACACACATCAGTTCTCAAAGTTCAAGTTGATTAGGAAATATCATATCCAAATGTATGCTATTATGGACTAAGCCAAAAGTTATACCCTTAAAATCAAGTAAGATCTGCCATGGTGCCATCAAAATCATATTGATTGGCCAAATCAAAAGTTACGTTACTTCCCTTTCCAAGAATCAACCTGAAATTATGTTATACATATGTTGCTGAAATTAATTAGTAAACACATATTCCAATAAATAAATAACAAATACACACTTCAGGCATGTATTTGAAAATTCAATCCAAAGCAGAGAATACTCCATCATCAAACAAAAAATCAAGAATCAATATGAATAGAAATGGTTTATGCAAATCAAGAATCCAAAGGAGATAGTACTCCATCATCAAACTAAGATGCTCATCTGTATAAACACTCTTTGGTTTATTCACACTATGTGAATAATAAATATGAGTAGAGCACTATCATTCTAAAGTGACTTTCTGATTCAGACTTTCTGTGTATTCAGATCTACTTGTTTCTCTATTCATTGTTTCTTTCAGATTCAGACTTTCTGTGTATATTATTGGTTTGTATGATTCCATAATTTTTAACTTTGATTTCAGAAGTTGGGATTTGATATCCTCTTTAGCTACTGCGTTATAATCATTCTCCTAATCTCACTTTTGGTAATACTAGTATAATTTATGATTTGTATATATTAGTCCTAGGAAGAGATAATGAAGTAACTACTCAGATAGTAAAACTGACGCAAAACTGTCATAAATGTTCCTCCTTGTGTTTTTACGACGGTTTTGCGACAGTTTTACATGTGTCGGCACATGCAACAGTTGTGCTAAAAACATAAGCCACAATTAAAAAAATGTCGTCTCTAATCTTTTACCACATTTATGTATGTGGTAAATAAAAAAGTGTGTAGTTAATATAATGATGTTTTTAACGACAGTTATGCTGTCATCGCAATAAAAATTGTGGTCTATATGCATTTTTCTTGTAGTGCATATTGTGTTATTTAATGTAAAAAACAGTGATGGAAGGACCAAATCAATATGGATTAAATAGAAAAAGGATTAAAATGATAGAATATGGAGTCCAAAATTATTCAATTTATGGTTGAAATTTATCTAATTTAAATGTGGTTATTATTTGGATCTACAACGTATTACATTTGTTTCACATAAAATCCCATATTAAAAACTTTATTATTGTTTCAGTAAAAGGAATACAAAGTAGGCACATAATGAATGTGTTTGTTTCCAACTACATTTGCTAGGGTCAATGGCTACAAAGTGGATGTATTTAATTACAAATCAAATAATTAAGAACCTAGTTATGAATTTGGTTAAGAAACTCATCCAGATACATGGAAGATTCCAAATACATTGAACACAAACTAATTCCTAAAATTGGAGGGATGTCTCAAATCCAAATGCATAATATATCTCATCCCCTCTATATCGGAAATTATATTGTGAGATTGTTATACCGTGAACAAACTGAACACGATATACTGACTCCAATAAGAGTTGGTTTGCAACCACTTTAAAAAAAAGTACTTCTCAGCTTTTGGATTTAAAAAATCACTTCTTTTACCAAACACTACAACTTTTATTTTTCTCGGCTTTCGTGTCAAAAGTGCTTTTACTTTTTTTTTTTACACAAAAAGCACTTATTTTACCAAACACTATCAACCTTTACTTTTCAAAATCACTTTTTTTCAAACACTATCAACTTTTATTTAATCACTTCTCCCCATTTCATTAAAAAAGCACTTTTTTAAAGTAGAAGTTGTTGCAAATAGACCCTAAATGTGTTGTAACTCTCTCATTTTCTTCATTGCAATGAATTCTTATACTTTTCCCTTGACTTCTTCCTAATTTTAATTTTCTTAAATTACAACTACTCAATCTATTTTTTGTGTACTTTACCCATCCATAACAACAATTTTATATTTCAAAAAAACTTAATATAAATAAAATAATATATTGCATTTCGTATTAATATGCTATTTATTTTATGTAATATTTTTATATCCATACATTTTTTTGTAATACCTAACATGTTTTTTCATATCCAAACTAGGCATAAACCCGGTTCGGGCCGCCCGGCCCGGGACCGGCCCGGCCCGCCACTGTGCGAGCCCGGAACCGGCCCGGTTCTCGGGTCCGGGTCCGGGTCGGGCCTAGGCCCGGTGGGGTGGCCGGGTCCGGGCTCGGGCCTTGAATTTGGCGAACCGGCCCGGCCGGGTCGGGCCCGGGCCCGGGCCGAATTGATTTTTTTTAATTTTTTTTTTCTTTTTTTGGGGTTAGCCAAGTTGGGCTTGATGGTTAGGAGGGGTTTGGGGGTGTGGGGGTGAGTGGGGGGGTTAGGAAAGCAAAAAAAAAAAAAAAAAAAATATAACCGAACCGGAGGCCCGGCCCGGCCCGGCCCGGCCCGGCCCGGACCCGGACCGGACCCGGTGGCTACCCGGGCCGGTCCCGGGCCTTCCTTCCCAAAAAAAAGCCCGGCCGGGCCCGGCCCGGAACCGGAACCGGAACCGGCCCGGCCCGGGTCCATGCCTAATCCAAACACTTTTTCTATCATATATAACAGTATACCACCTCCGTCCCTAAAAAAACACATAGGGCCGGATATCCATATTTCAAAACCCAAAAGTGTCCCGAATTTACCCACCCGACCGACTCAAACCCGCCCGATGCTCCCCTCCCCTCAAAGTACTTCATTCATACAACCAAAAACAAAGACTTTTTTATTAGCTGATAATGTCAAAGGAGGAATACATACTGTTAACACACATGTCCTCATAATATTACAGAATTACAAAACAATCCCAGCGGCCGTACACATTTCATTTATTCATCAGAATCCCAAAGAACTCCGATCCATCGCCGGTGAACGGGTCTAATCGCTGTCGCTGCTGCTGCTGTCGCCGCCGTGCTCGTGCCCGTGCCCGTGCCCGGACTTCTTCTCCTTCTTCTTCTTCTTGTCTTTCTTGTCCTTGCCCTGTTTCTCGCCTCCTTCGTGGTGGATCTTGTCCTTGATCTTGTCGACGATTCCTTTGTCGTCTTTGTGCCCCGCCTCGCCGGAATGGTGGGCATCCGCCGGATTGCCGTGGGGTTTCGTCTCCCCTTCGCCGTGGATCTTGTCCTTGATCTTCTCGACGAGTCCTTTGTCTTTGTGGGCAGCCTCTGGATGACTGGAATGGTGGGCTTCCGACGACTTCTCGCCGTCCTTGTGGGCTTCCGCCGGCTTGTCGTGAATCAAATTGCCGATCTTCTGAACGAATCCTGCCATTTCTAAGATAAAGATATATTGGGAAAGTATGATTGGGTACTGGTATACCTATTTTTGATTAGTTATTTATAGAAGATGCGTACGCGGAAATGTACAGACCAAATGACTAGCTTGCCCTCTTTCCGTGGACGATCCGTGTCACTTCACCTTCTATCCATACCACCGACCATTTTGGATCTCTTTTCCCAACTCCTATTTTTAGAATTTTCAAAAAAAAATATTACGGAGTATTAGCTACTCGAGTATTAGTTATTTTAGTACTATATTCGTCCTTTTTTATTTATTAAGTAAAAGATGATAAACTTTAATTTAAGTATTATATTTATGTGAAATTTAATAAATTTATAATTTCATCATACTCTCTCCATCCATGAAAGATCTTACATGGATCTTTTACTCTTAATCTTTTACTTTATATATCAAAATTTTATAAAATTGAATTGTTTTTAGTTGGTTTTGTAGCGGTTTTAGTTTAGTTTCTGAATATGTAAATTTTATTTTCTAAAAATAATTTATGTTTTCACAAGGATCATTTAACTTTATCGCAGGTCAAACTTCGTAAATCGTAATTGGAAAAACAACTAGGACGGAGGGAGTATTTTTAACAATTCACATTTTGATATCATTTTTATATTATCAAAACTGTTGAGATATATTATCCCGGCCTATTACTGTTCAGGAGCCCAAAACATTACTCAGTACGGAGCCCGAGCAGCTAGGCTCATTTCGGCCCATCCGGCCCACTTTAGCAATTTGGGCCACTCCGGCACATGCGGCCCATTAACGTGGAGAGCATCCCCTTCCCCTATTCTCTATAAATATGAGAGTTTCCCTCCATATTATGGATCCTCTTTTAGCTTCTTCTTCATTATTTCTCTCTAGCTAGCTAAATACTCCATTAATGGGAGCTTGAACATTGTAATGGTGAGGAGAGTCTTAATGAGAAAGAGAGGGCTTGGACATTAGTCTAAAAAGTCCCGTGTTTTTCTCCCTTTCGGGTTTCCACTTAAAAACTGAGCTTGTTCATACACACTTGTACATATATTTACTATATCGTGTTTGATTAAACTCAACACTGGTGCCGTCTGTGAGAATGATCAGTGAGTTTAATCCAACACGATATAGTAAATATATGTATAAATGTGTATGAACAAACTTTTTTTACGTGAAAACCCGAAAGGAAGAAAACCACGGGATTTTTTAGCCTAATGTCCAAGCCCTCTCTTTCTCATTAGGACTCTCCTCACCATTACATTGTACAAGCTCACATTAATGGAGTATTTGAGCTAAGTCTAAAAGGAGGAAGGAGAGCTAAAAGGGGATCCTTTTACATGGAGGGAAGCCTCCTATTTATAGATAAAGGGGGAAGGGGGGCTCTCCACCCTAACGGACCGAATGGCCCGAAATGGGCCCAAAGGCCGAAACAGACCTGATAGGCTAAAATGGGCCTCACTGATTGGGCTCCGTATGACATAAGTCTTGGACTCCTGAACAGTAATAGGCCGGGATAATATATCCCAACAAATAATATCATGTAAAAATACATGATCAATCAAAGTTTAACCTTAGTGACTTCAAAAGTCAATTTGCTCAAATAAAAAGGGACGGGGGAGAGTGTATGTAATTATTAATTTAATTTTGCGCGCTAAAATAAGAGTATATCATTTCAATCAAATCTGAAAATTTTTTGTTTAAATTTTTATCTAATCTATTAATAAGATATAATTTAAATATAATTTATGATGGAGTACAAATTAGCCAACTTTGCAATTTCTCACCAGATTCAGTTGATTCAGTCAATGTCACCAAATCTGATCTTGATTTAGTAGTATTTTTTATTTTATTTTATTTTAAATGAAGTTATCTTGATTGAAATAATATGATTAATTGCTCCTAGTTCTCTTGCACAATGAAAGTCATTTTGTTGGTGGCGGATTAGTCCGATGACAACGGTGATGAACTTCGGTGACGGAGGTGGACGGTGGTGAGATTCAGGCAAAACAGTAGAGGCGATCTGGGTGTAAATTACTACAATCGACAGCGGTGTTCGGATTTAAAAGTCTATAAAAAGTTAAAAGTTAATAGAATTCATTCATAATTACGTATATAGATTTTTTCGCATCTCAAAAAGGTATATAGATTTACAAATCCATAGACTTCTATAAAAGTCCATGGATTAAAAACATTCCACCACAATCCATATTCAATACACAAGACACCCCTCAGTGTTAAAAAGGTAATTACTAAGACTTCATAACACCCTCACAAACTTCATAATTTCTGTCCCAAACAAGTGTTGTTAATGTCTACCTCCTCAACACTTCCTTTCCACACTCTCTAAGGGTATACAGTTGGCACAACTAGCTGAAAATATACCTTTATGAGCTTTTTAGTAATTGTTGACTTTTATCCACGGAAAAGATCTTTAAAAAAGAGGTAGTAGTTGTTTGATAAAAAGTTGACTATTTGATTTAGCTCTTTTTGTTATACAAGGTGTTGGGACTAACTAACGCTAGAAACTATAGACTGATCTGAGATGCTACTCACTGTAGCATCTCAAAAAAGATCTTTTATTTTTATAAAAACTCTTAAAATTTGGCATGTCAAGCATATAACTAGAAGCTTTTATAGACTTTTTAAATAGTACAAAATCTAGAAGACATGAACTTATGTCTGCCAAACATAGCTTTAGTTCTATTTGGCATACAAGTTGTTGGGACTAATTAATGCTAAAAGCAACAAACTTTTCTTAGATGCTACTTGGATGTTTTTACTTGGACTGTAATTTGCTGGTCTGGTCTGGTCTGGTCTGAACTGGTCTGGTCTGGTCTGGTCTGGTAAGGTCTGGTTTCTTTGTATTTTTATAACTATCCATGTCTGGTCTGGTCTGGTCTGGTCTGGTCTGGGACAAATTACAGTCCAAGTAAAAACATCCTTACCGTAGCATCTCAAAAAAGACTTTATTTTTAAATAAACTCTTAAAATTGACATACCAAACATTCAACTAGAAACTTTTAAAAGCTTTTTAAATAATACTACCTCCGGTTTTTTTTTAATCTTCATAGTTTGACTTCACACAAAATAAGGAAAGAAATTTGATTTTACTGTAGAGTACACTGTTTGACACTGTTTGGCACTGTAGAGACACTGTTTGGCACTGTTGAGACACTGTTTGGCACTGTTTGGCACTGTTTTGGTGTAGATTTCTTTGCCAAAAAAGGAAATAAGGAAGTGTGAAGTTTATTTTAGACCGTCCCAAAAAGGAAAGTGTGAAGTTTATTAAAAACCGGAGGGAGTACAAAAGCTAGAAGGTCCCGCCTTTTAGAAACTCATGACCGCCCGCTCCACCTCCAAACACAGTGCTACAAAAATAGAGGAATGCTTGGTGTACCCCAAATTTGTACACAAAATGTACACTGCCTGGGCACACAGACATTTTGATAGAAAATTTTGTTTTTTTCAAACGAATTGGGTGTATACACAGACAAATAACAATTGTGCACAAATTGAGGTACTATTGTACCAATTAGGGGTGGGCAAACGGGTCTTGGAACCGCGGTCCGGTCTGGGTAATGGCGGTTCGGGTCCAAAACGGGTCGGTTCCATTTTTTGTTTCCATAAAACGGTCCGGGTAGGGTCGGGTAATTTTTTTTAAGGAACCGGACCGGTTCCAAAATTAAAAAATAACGGGTACCCGGCCCAGCCCGTTATATATATTGTATATAATCGGTCCGTTATATACATTATATATAATCGGTCCGTTATATAGTCCACAACTAATGTAATAAACTATATTTATTAATAGTTTTGTGATAATCGGTTTTGAAATTGTTTTGTTTCCTGTGCTAGAAGTAGGATTTTAAATTGAGTTGCAGTAACATCCTTTTGTTTTCAAATTATTGATTAAATGTTTCATAAATATCTTATTACTTTTTATTGTTATTGAATTATTCCTTTCTATGGAATTTAATTATTTGTTAAAGATGATTTATGTTATATTTTTTTTTATTATATTGTTATTAAAATATATAAATTGTGTTTACCACCCACCATGTATGTGTCAACTTTGGCTAATACTGAAAATTTAATAATAAAAAAAAAGCAATCACTTTAATATGTGATGCTAGACAACATGTTTAAAAACAAATGTTAGAAAATATGTATTTTGGCTATGTTGCATATTTTTGGAATTTCTTTAATTGTTTGAAACATATATACAAGAAAATATGGAGTATTGAACTTTTCGCTTGTGTTATATATGCACCACTATGTTGTTATTTTGAAACTTGCTAATGTCATATATGATTGATTATTGATTTTTGGAACTTCGTGAGTTTTTACTAATTTCAAGACATGAGAATAGAAACCGTAAAACCCGGACCGGACCGACCCGTTTCAAACGGGCCGGGTAATTTCCAGTTCCTATTTTGAAAAATGTAATACTCGGACCGGATCGGACCGGACCGTACAATGGAACCGGCGGTTCCATTTTATTTTGCATAACCCGCCCCGACCCGGCTCGTGCCCCGCCCTAGTACCAATACTATTTTCCAGCAAAATACTCCCATATATGACATTCAAGGAAACATTTTTTCTTCATGGAATACTCCGTAGTTCAGTGAGGTGAATGCTAAAGACTGTAAAGAGCAAAAGTGTGAAGTGAAGAATCAATACGATGACAACAACGCTCACAAGCTCCATCTTTCGCAGCCCAATAAACGTGAGGTTCCGGTTGAATCACCACACGATCTGCCCACTGAAGCAAAAAATTCAGGTGATTAGAATTTCGAAGAGGAACTACGGCGGATTGATAATTAGGTGCACCAGCGGCAGTAATGGTGGTGGGAACACTGGAGACGGGAAGTTGGAAAAGGACAACTCTTCCAGCACTGCTACAGCCACGACTACCACCGTAGCTTCTGACGGCACCGCTGAGGACAGGCGCGGCCCAGGCGGTGCTACAGATTCCGATAATTCTCTAGCGTCTGTTTCTCCAAGAGTGAGCATTTCTCATCTCTTTTTTGTTTGGCGATTTCACAAACGGTGTGAAGATGATTCAAATTTGGATAATTGGTCATTCTCGTGAGTAAGTATTCAGGATAGGTACTTATGGTTAAATGAATAGTAACATGAACTGCATTGCATTCAATTTGCTGACGTATAATGAGACAGAAAAAATCAAAGGTACACTAGATTTCGTCCCAACATTAGTTTTATCGAAATTGTTTTTTAAAGTTAAGCTTGAATAATTGTCTAATGGCTACTCACACTCAAGTTATGATCAGCAGAATTAGTTTAACATAGGGTGATAGTGTATCTTGTAAGAGATTAAGTGACACAGTGTCACAGTGTGATTATTCCTCATTTTCTTGACTTTTTCACAAACGCTGTGAGGATGATAAAAATTTGATAAATGGCAATTCTGAGATAAACTATTCACGATACATACCTAATGGTCATATGATTAAAATGAATAATACTCTGTATAAAGTATATCCCATCTGCGGATGTCAAGTGAAGCAGTTTATAAAGGTAGGACAAACTGAGCTTGGCCTAATATTATCTCTATTAGAGCTGGTTTTACACTTATATGTGAGAATGATATGTATGCTGACCAGTAGCAAATAAGATTAGTTTGGTCTGGAATGGTAGAATATTGAAAGGGTTCCAAATGATCAGATGATTTAACTAACCCTACACCAGTATAATAGTGAATCTGGTAAGAGATCAGACAAGCTTCTTCACTGGTGTGTTGATAATCACAGAAAGGGGAAACCATCAGCTTTTTATAAAAAGATTCTAAGATATATTTATTTCAATGTAACAAACCATTTGTCTTTGGCCTTTGCAGCAGCCAACACTTGCTGGATCACCTTATAATAATTTTCAGCTAGATTCTTTCAAATTGATGGAACTTCTTGGACCTGAAAAAGTTGATCCTTCTGATGTTAAGGTGATTAAAGAGAAACTTTTTGGCTATTCCACTTTCTGGGTGACAAGAGAAGAACCATTTGGAGATCTGGGAGAGGGTACTCTTTTCATTGGAAATCTTAGGGGAAAGAGGGAGGACGTGTTTGCCAAACTTCAGAGTCAGCTATTTGAAATTATGGGTGATAAGTACAACTTATTCATGGTGGAAGAACCTAATTCTGAAGGACTAGATCCACGTGGTGGGCCTAGAGTCAGCTTTGGAATGCTGCGTAGAGAGGTTTCTGAGCCCGGCCAGACTACTTTATGGCAGTATGTAATTGCTGTTATATTGTTTCTTCTAACAATTGGATCATCCGTGGAACTAGGAATTGCATCTCAGGTTTGCATATATTTTTATTGTATGCTAATTTTTTACAGGATCGCCTCACGCCAATTTCCGTTATCATTTATTATCTTTAGTGCACAAAGGTTCAATAGAAGTGCTCTAATTGATCGTGACTGTTGCTAAAACAGATTAATCGCCTTTCTCCCGAGATAGTTAAGTATTTTACTGATCCAAATGCCACTGAGCCACCAGATATGGAGCTTTTAATACCTTTCATTGGTTCTGCTTTGCCCCTGGCTTATGGTATCCTGGGAGTGCAGTTATTTCATGTAAGAATTTTTTCTTTTAGCTAGGTTAGTTAGTTGGTATAATGTAATTACATCTTAACTGAAGATTATTGGGCTTGAGTCAGAAATCAATGTTCAAACCATAGGTTAATATTCTTTGAAATAAATTCACTACGATGCTTTGAGGTTTGATTTATCACAGTTGGAGTCATGCTGTTTAAAAATGACACTAGACTCTGTGTTAACAGTAGAAGGAAGTGTTTGCATATGTATGTTTACGATAAGGTTTTGTTCTGAGTGTTAGCCAACAAGAACTTTTGGATCTATGGTTTACGACAGAGAACAAAATAAACCTTAAGTAGAATTCAGTGCTTGACCTAGTCAAGGCTCAAGGCACACAAGAATTGACAAGAGCCCAAATCATAAGGAAATAACAACAATATCAATAGAAATGATATTAAATTATTAATTATTACTAATAAGAAACTAATATTAACAAAGAATAATATCCCTAACTAAAGGCCAAAGTGGAATTGCAATATAAAGGGTTATAGAATTGAATATGTAGTTATGTACTCTAGGCTGATGTGAAGTAGGGACCAAAAGGCCATGGGTCCATGATGTTCAGGCACATTTTTTATACAGGGGAGATCCAGCTCTTTCTGGTGAAAACCTCAGGCAGTCTAAGTGAAAGTGTTGTTTTTTTCTAACTGTTCTACTATGCTTTTATTTAAGCATCTGTTACACTTGCCAGAAGCCCAGAATCATGTGCCACCTCCCCTCAAGCATATCTGTCCTTATAGTGAGTTTGGTCATGTGTGATTAGTATTCAAGAATTAAAGAAAGGGTTGAAGCATTTTAATTTGGTGAAAAGCTCTCAGAGAAAGAAACGGGGAAATATTCCTGAAAAAATATGAAGTGGTTGCTTATAATGAATTAGGCTCTACGTTATTTTTTCAGGCATGCAAATTAAAAATTCAGACTACATTTTTCACACTGCTTCTGAAATTCTTTGTTTGTAAGCATACTCCGGTATACTTTAATGAACTACTCAATGAAAAAGTTGCATATTTCTTCTAATTGGCCGACAGTTCTACAATTTGTGTTTGATTTTATGCAGCTATGAGAAACTTCCTGACCATGCTAGTTCTATCCCCCCATCTTTTATGTATCCTATCCTATGTCGTGCATGCCAATGTCATATCCATCCTATTAAAGATGCAGTTTTTTACATAAGTGTGTACAACTGCAAGTATATATTTCTCCAGACAATGTTTAGTACAATGAACAACTTTCTTTGCTCCAGATAATGTGTACAACTGTAAGTATATATTTCTCCTTGTTTTGACGCCCAAGGATTTTCAGTGGTGATTCTAAATACGTATCCTTCCCTTGTGTACTTGTATGCCTTTAAGGTTTTAACAATTCTTTTGATTTCTAATTGTACTTGAAAGAGTTGATTTTCTGCAGGAATTTGGGCATCTTCTGGTTGCCTTACCAAGAAAAGTGAAACTGAGCATTCCATATTTTATTCCAAATATCACGCTCGGGAGCTTCGGAGCGATCACTCAGGTTAGAATATCTGTTACTCCATCCATCCCGTTATGTAAGATACATTTGGGTTTGGCGCACATTTTAAGAAAATAAAAGATAAAGTTGTTGTTTTGCAATTTTAATCTCCAAAACATAAGAAAAAGCAGATTGGATACACAAGGAGTAGAAAGGTGAAATGATAGATAAAGTCATAAGGTATAAAGCTGGAAATAAAAAGTTAGTGGAGTTTAATTTAGGAAAGTGTTCATATTTTTGGGACAAGCCAAAAAGGAATATTGTGTCTTGAAAATGGGACGGAGGGGGTCTCATGGATAGAAAATGACAACTTAGTGAAATTGGTAAAGTGATCTTTTTTTTGTTTCTGTTAAATGTGGCATAAGTGGAGTCTTTCATGCTAATTGTACACTAAATCGCTTCCCGTATATTATGCATATTTTACCCATGATGTGCGCACACACAAAAAGCATATGTATGCAGTACACATAATATGTGTGTCAGTGTGTGTCGGTCAAAATGATTTGTTTGAGAATATCTTCATATGCCAAAAGGTGGATAGCCCATAACTACATGCAAGTTGGTTTATAATAGGAAGCGTAGATGCAGTGATGAACTTGCAAAATGCCAACAAGCACCATTAATTGGACAGTTTTTTTGCCTTGTCTCAAGCCTGACCGCCACCACATTGGAGATTCTTTGAGAAACATCTAGGAAATATCCTACATATTTCAGAAATGCATTTTTTTTACCTTTTTGATCTTTTCCAAAACTAATCTCCATTTTTGCACTTGATTGAAATTCATAGTCAGGACTAGGGAAATGCCATGTGTCATTCTTATTAATTGTTTACTTACTTTGTGTTTGGTGCTGCAGTTCAAGTCTATTATTCCTGACCGAAAAGCAAAGGTTGATATTTCCATAGCTGGCCCAATTGCTGGTGCTGCATTGTCCTCTGCCATGTTTGCCATTGGGCTATTACTTTCTTCAAGCCCAAATGCTTCAGGAGACTTGGTTCAGGTTCCTAGCACACTTTTCCAGGGGTCCTTGCTTCTTGGGCTTATCAGTAGAGCTACTCTTGGTTATTCGTGAGTTTAGCCTTACAAAACTTCAATAAGAGTTCCTAGAACATAATTTTCAACTACATTTCTCGATCTTTAAAAGATGCTCTTTCTGTGCTTGCATGTATTTTGCTATATGTTCAGAAATTAGGAAGAGCATTTATATCGTGTCATTAACATTTAAGATATTATTGCATTTCCATATTCATCTGCATTACCTAATATTTGGAATTTGACTATGTACTTCCCAACCCAGAGAACTCCATGCAACTTCAGTTTCAATCCATCCTTTTGTGATTGCTGGATGGTAAATACTTAATTTCACACTTTTTACTTTTCCTAACTTACAACTTGCAAGTTTATTATAAGGTTGTGATGGCAGGTGTGGCTTAACTACATCAGCTTTCAATATGCTTCCGGTTGGGTCTCTTGATGGTGGAAGAGCTGTGCAGGTAACTTTTAAGTCTAGTTTACCCATACCAAATTTCAGGTAAAAATGCAACCGGGAAGGCAGTCAAATGAGTTTTTGAAGATAACTGCGCAGTTAAACAGCGCAGTATATTTCGGAAAATCATTTGATTGCCTTCCTGGTTGAATTTTTAGCTGAAATTTGATATGGGTAAACTAGACTTAATGAAGAAGATGCTCAAAAAATTTCATCAAACAATTCCACCGGGAACCGCCCCAATTGGCGGCAGCCGGACAGAACCTCCTATATAAGGGGCTAATTGAACACTTTAAGCTAGGTCAAAGGCCTATTTGACCCTTAAGCCATTTATAAATATAGTATCCATAATTGGTTGAAGTTGGGATAATGACTCTCCTAAGAAGCTAAGAAATCATTTCTTAACGACTAAAAGTATTGTGTCGGTTTTCAACACCACCATACATGATGTGCTAATCGCACACACATTTTAGAAGGATGATGATTCTTTTCCAAAGTCTAGATTCTACAATAGAAGGGGAGCCTTGGCACACCAGTTGAGGTGTTTGTATGTGACCGAGTGGTTATTTCAAGTTTTGGGAGCGGCCTTTTCTCAAAATTGACAAGGACGGCTTGCCGCTTGTGATGGGACCCTTCACCAGACGGCCAGATCCTCGCCTTGAGAGGATTCCTTTGTGCATCAAACTGCCCTTTCTTTCTCCCTCCCTCCCTCATTGATTTTTTGGTGTTTGACTTATGATGGTCTGTTTTCCTTTCTGACAGGGTGCTTTTGGGAAAAATGCATTGATTGCCTTTGGTCTGGCAAGCTATACTATGTTGGGACTAGGAGTGGTAAGCCTCAGGGCATCTCGATTGGGACCTCATATTTAAATTGTTGGGGGTTGATTTTCAGCCCTTTTGGGTGGTTTCAATGTTGAAGCTGGCTCTGTCGGCTGAACTTGTTTATAATGTTCATTGCTTTTCATTCTGGTCAATTTATTGAGACTTGAGAGGCACCTGGTGAGAGTAGCGGTGGTGTGCTTTCTTCAGCTTGATGTGATGACGATTCACAATGGATTATCCTGACAAGCTCTTTCTTCTCAGCTACCTGCTACTTACACTTCTTAAATTTATTCAAAAAAATGTCATTCTCTAATTCCCATAGTCGGGCAGTCAGCATAATGTGTAACCTGATTTTTGTCAGTTGTCACATAATAAGTCAAGTCAGCCTCTTTATCCACCTGAGCATAAGCTAATTTCTCAGATCAGTGAATTGCCTCACTTAAAACAGTGCTTTCTGTATTATTTAATGTGTATAAAATATATCATATGGTAGTGAACAAAAATCTACTAACAGACAATTTCTTCCAATCATGTCTCAGTGTGTCACCATTTTTGCTGTGTAATTTCCAGAAAATAAATGCTCATAAAAAATTTATTTGTCGATTGTCCCAGCTTGGTGGACCATTGTCACTACCATGGGGATTATACGTGCTAATATGCCAGGTAATTTAAATTTCAATTCCACGATAAATAGAATGACCGAATGAGACAAAAAAAATGATTTCATCTTGCTTCAATTACAGTCTCTCTCCTGAACTTGAACTCTCTGTTCTTTATTGCAGAGGACACCAGAGAAGCCTTGCTTGAATGATGTGACAGAGGTTGGGACCTGGAGAAAAACACTTCTTTCTGTTGCTGTAATTCTTGGAGTGTTGATTCTTCTTCCGGTATGGGATGAGCTTGCCGAGGAGTTGGGCATTGGTCTTATATCAAGCTTTTGAGTGTAAGGTCACTACAGCATTCTCAATTTCAACTCTTGATACCAAGGCTAAGTGAATTATGCATTTAACATTCACTTGAAGAATGTAGTTTTTCCATGTGTATACGTACTCTGCATATAGGCATATAGCATAGGTTTCCATTCGGTGAAAGATTTTTTTGACACTTTTCGTCCTCCGACTATTATGTCACTGTACCTTTTGGTACTCGATTTTGATTGTTTCCACTTTTAGTCCTTTGACTATTGTGCGAAAGACACTTTTGATACCCGTCTTTATAAATTTCTACAATCAGTGCTTCAATTTTTATAAAACTGACACTTTTAGTCCTTCAACTATTATAATAATGACATTTTTAGTCCTCCACTTATTGTGCCAAACACATAGTGGAAGGACTAAAAGTGTCAATTTGATAATACTCAGGGGACTAAATGTGAGAAAAATTGAAGTTGAGGACTAAAAATGTCTTTTGCACAATAGTCAAGGACTAAAAATGGAAAAATTAAACGTCGGGTATCAAAATTGTCATTGACACAATAGTCGGGGGACCGAAAGTGGCAAAAACTCTTTGGTGAAACTTAAGATTATTAACCATGATGATGATTCTTGACCACGCATTAATAGTTTAAAACACTAAAGAATTAACCTTCCAGGGATGTTCAACTGGCTCACTAAACTGTCTGCTCTTCTTTGTTATGAAGCAGTAGTTAGTCCATGCAATTTTGGACGCAATTTTCACTATGGGTCATCCGGAAACAGTCTCTCTGTGCTTTAGTACAGGGGTAAGATTGCGTACATCTGACCCCCCTTACCCCACCGTAGGTGGGAGCCTTTGCGGCATTGGGGTAAATGAAAATGAAATGAAAATGGATGTTCAACTGGCTATAACCAAGGAAGTTCTTTGAGGTTGCTAGTTTGAACCCCTGGAGGTTCGCTGAAGGTTTACCTGGTCGTTAAGTATTGGGCTCGCAGGATAATCTGGGCCAAAATAGTTTTGGACACCCGTATTGTCAAAAGTAGAAAAAATGAAGAAATTACTTTGTGTTTCTCGCATGTGCCTAGATACTACCTTGAGATACAGTGTCACGCATCACCAATTATCTTCACATAACAAATACTAGTATTTGATTACGACTATAATTGCAACAATGATTTAGTGCATTTTTTGTAAGTTGTATCGAGATGTGAGAAATATTGCAGTTTCATCTGCCATCTACTAAAAGATTTCTGTTTGGCAGATGATAATAGAAAGTAGATGAAAGAGAGAACTTCTAGAAGTAACTCCTCATTTTTGTCAATGCAGCAATCTTACTGTCTAATATAAATAAGTAAAAGAACTACTGGTACAATTTTCTGAATTTCAAGCCATTTTATTCTAATTGTATAAACATTTCCTGCTTTAGGGATATGGTGAACTCCGCCCAGTTTTGGTTAAGACTGCAAGTATTTACACTTGATAAATTCTTTTTGAAGGGCTAGCAGTACCATCGATGCAAGGAAAAGTAATAGGCACTGGGAGGTGGTTTAGAAATAGTCCCTTCTCTGCTCAACTTAACTGAGAAAGAATCAAAGAACCCCTAGTTATGGGTATCTTCCTGCTAGAAGATGCAGTATTCCGAAATTTGCTTCCTTCAAGGAGTGAGGATGCATAAAATCTTTTTGTGTCTTGTTCTTGGCACTTGAAAGATATTTTCATGTGGGGTTCAATAAATGGTGTTCAGTCATGAAGCAGCAGTAAACACAGGCTGATAGATTGTATGTTTGGGGAAAGCTTGCCTGTAGTTGTAAATAAAGAGGGTGACTTGAGGTAGTAGAAAAGACCGTCATTGAGAAAGTGAGCGATGTAGCCTGGGATTAGAGCCACCCAACAGTTTATAAACTTAAGTAAGCTTAGGAATATAATCACCTGACAACAGTTTACAAACTAAATTATTTTTATAGCTAGGGAAGTATTACATATAATTTTTGTAGCTTACTTTAGTGATCATTCTCACCATTTGCAATGGAGCTAAGGACACTATTTTTTGGCTTGGAAATATGATGGAATAAAGCAAAATGTTTCACTAAACTGTCTACGCTTTCTTATCATGAAGCAGTAGTCGGTCCATGTAATTTTCGACGCGAATTTTCCTATGAGTTATTCGGAAACAGTCTCTATGTGTTTTAGTACAGGGGTAAGACTGCGTACATCTGATCCTCCTTACCCCAATGTAGGTGGGATCCTTTGCGGCCCTGAAGTGATGATGATGACTTGAGTGATCATTCTATGCAAGACTTGATCATCTAAATGTGTACATACCAGATGCCCCCACCTCCCCTCCATATTTTGTTTCAAAATCTGGTATGGAATGAGCGGGAACCTGACTGGGATCGAAACCAGAGCTGGCATTATAATGCAGCTTGGCAATTTTGGTTACAGCCTTTGCTTGGTCCAGATCATGCTATACGTCCAGACCAATCTGTCCGAAGTCATACTATATCCATTATGAGAAAGAAAATTAGACTTGACCATGCTAGATGTTTGGTTATATCACTAGGTATATACGTAATCTATCTCAGAAAACTGTACACTTAAATGAGTTTGGGACTTTAGGTCCATTCGTATGAATATAAATGGTTTTTGCAAAAAGGCTCTTAAAATATACCTAGCTGTTGTGTAGTGTGCACATGAGAAACAATAAGATCATATTACATATAGGGAAAATGGAAACTAATAATCCAACCTTTCAGCGGTCTTCTTTCAATAGTCCGACCTTTTCGTTATTCATGAATAATCCAACCTTTGCACATCATCTTCATTCATTGGTCCCCGACCGGTTGATGACCTGCTATTCCGAGTTATTTTTTTATCTCTGCAAACTATTATACCATAAATTCCATCTTTCACAAAGATAATATTTTGCAAAGATAAGAAAATAACTTGGAATAGCAGGTCATCAACCGGTCAGGGACTGAAGATGAGGTGCAAAGGTTGGATTATTCATGAATAACGAAAAGGTGGGACTATTAAAAGAAGACCGCTAAACGGTTGAATTATTAGTTTCCATTTTCCCTTACATATATGTTACAAAATGACAGTCATTCATAATCTTCTTCGTGTGATCATGATGATCGAGTTCGTAGTGAGATAGTTACACTAACATAGGCACAAGTAGTAACTAGGCGTGGACCCGGTTCGGGCCGCCCGGCCCGGGACCGGCCCGGCCCGTCACTGTGCGGGCCCGGAACCGGCCCGGTTCGCGGGTCCGGGTCCGGTTCGGGCAGAGACCCGGTCGGGTTAGCGGGACCGGGCTCGGGTCCTGGTTTTGGAGGCCCGGCCCGGCCGGGTCGGGCCCGGGCCCGGGCCTAACGGTCCACTTTTTTAAAAAAAAAAATTTTTTTTTTTTTGGATTCCTTTTGGCTCAAACGGCTACCCCAAACGGCTATATAGCCGTTGGGTGTACCAGGGGGGGTCAGGGGGGTTTGGGTGGGGGGTGGGGTGGGGGGTTGGGGTGGGGGGTGGGGGTTAAAAAAAAACCTATAAATACTCCTAATTTTAAACATTTTTTCACACCTCTTCTCCAACTCTTCTAAATCCTACTCTCTACTCATCTCCATTCTCCAATTCTCCATATTCATCTTCTCTAATTCTCTTATTCTCCTTTATATTTTATTTTACTATTTAATACTTATACAATTATTATATCTACTTATATATTAATTATCTACTTATATATATTATTATCTACATATACTATATTGCTTATATTTCTTATCTACTTAATTTCTACTTATATCTCTTAATACATACATACATACTATATCTACTTAATATATACTTTATATAATAAAGTATTAAATATACTTTATAAACTATTATTATATACTTAATACATAATAATATCTACTTCTCTACTTATATTTTATATATACTTATTTTCCAATCTCCAATTCTCCATTATACTCTAATATTTAATTCTTATACAATTATTATATCCACTTAATACATACATTCTACATCTACTTAATATATATTTATATATTAAAGTATAAAATATAAGTGTATTACTCATCGTATAGTATAGTATACTTATATATTATATAATATAAACATTATATTATATATTACTTACTATAACTAGTATTATACTAGTTAATTAGTTAATTAGCATTCTTGTTACATTTTTCATTATACTAGTTAATTAGTTCATTACCATTATTGTAACATTTTTCATTATACTAGTTAATTACTTAATTAGCATTCTTGTTACATTTTTCATTATACTAGTTAATTAGTTCAATACCATTCTTGTTACATTTTTCATTATACTAGTTAATTAGTTCAATACTTCAATACCATTCTTGTTACATTTTTCATTATACTAATTAAAATACTTCACATTTTATTTAACTAGTTGTTAGTTTGTTACATTTGTCACTATACTAGTTAACTACTTAATTAGCATTGTTGTTACATTTTTACTTGTACTAGTTATTTACTTCAAAAGTTGCTATAATTTTAATTGTAGAGACACACATTAATTCTACTTTGCAAAAAATTAGTTTGAACTATTAATTAAAATAGTTTTAATTAGTTGCATTAGTTTTGTATCCATTATTATATTTGTTGTGAATTAATATTTGTTACATTTTTTAGATGGAAGGTGGTAGATATTCGGTTGATTTGGGTAACCTCCAACGCAATCGAAGAAACGAGATTGGGAGGAAGAAATCCCGCAAAGGTAAAGAACTTGCCGGGTCTTCATCTCAAAGCCGAGATGATTTTGAAACGGGTTACCAAAGGCGAGATGGAGATGCGATGTCCGAAGAACAACTCCAACAAGAATTGGCCCGACATAATAACCGCTTTCTACAACAACAACAAATGCCGACGACCATTGACGAAAAGGAGCTTGAGGATGAAGATGCGGAGGAATTGGAACCGGAGACGGCCGAGGAGGAGGGTGCCGGCAGCCACGACGCCGACGCGCCTGCCTCATCCCAAACCGCCACCGGTAATAAAAAAAGTAAGTCTGAATTAATGCAAAATAATTTTGATAAATGGAAGAACCCACAAACTGGCTATTGGCACGCAACTTGCAAGTGGTGCAACAACAATTATAGTTTGGGAACCTCCGGCGGATACGGATCCGCCGCAAGGCATCTTAAGTCAAAGCACCCCGTGGAGTACGCAAAATTAGGCGGCGGAACGGGGAAGCAAACTCAAATATCGAGGTTTGCGAATTCTCAACCTTTTGGTAATTTCGCCTACAATGATGCACAAAATTTGACTGGTATGGCTAACTTAATTTGTGAAGAAAATTTGCCTTATTTGTTTTCTGAAAGTCTTGCTTTAAGAGATTATGCACAAGGTAGTTTAAATCCTCAATTTAGAAATTATAGTCGCAAAACTGTTAAGAAAGAAATAATAAGGCTTTATAATGCGGAAAAGGAAAGGTTACAAAATTTTTTTGCAAACTTTGATGGGCGTGTTACTATTTGTTCTGACATATGGGAGGATGATTTTCATCATTTATATTATTTGGGTCTGACTGCACATTATATTGATGAGGATTGGAATATGCATAAACGTGTTCTTGCTTTTCGTGAATTTAATGATCGTCACACCGCTGAACATATTTATATTTTGATTGAGCGTATTTTAATTGAGTATAATTTGATTGATAAGGTGTTTGCTATTGGTTTCGATAATGCTACTAATAATACTGCTGCTATACCTAGATTGCGTGAGTTGTGTGGTGCCAATTCTTTGATGGGTAGATTTTTTCATCAACGGTGTGCATGTCATGTTATAAATTTATGTGTGCAAGACGGTTTAAAAGCGTTAGGAGATTCCATGGAGGTAATAAAGGGGGGGGTTAGACGTATTTGGGGTAATGGTCAACTTAGATTAAAATGGCAAAGTTATTTGACTGAAAGAGGTGTGAGATATGTTGCTTTTCCTAAAGATTTGAGTATTCGTTGGAATAGTACTTATAAATTACTTAAAGTTGTTCTTAGATATAAAGAACATTTTCCTGCTTTTTTAAAAGAACATGATAACTATATTATAAACGCGGCTGAGATCGACACTTGCGAAAAAATTTGTAATGTTTTGATATATTTTTTTAATGCTACTGAAACTTTTAGTCATGTTTATAAACCTACCGCAAACCAATTTATTCCACAAGCTGTTAATCTCGCCGATGCTTTTAAAGAATTTCAAAATGCCGTTTTCGTTCATTATTTTTGTGATCATATGAAGGAAAAGTTTTTAAAATATTATGCGCATATTCCCCATATTTATGGTATTGCATTTATTCTCGATCCTCGTTATAGACTTGCTAATTTGGAAGATTGTTTCAACTTCTATTATCTTGCGTTTTTCGGTGAATTTCCAATGTATGAGGATAACCCCATAGATCCGAAAACGGAATACAACGAGGTTAGTACTTTATTTTATGCCTTATTTAATGAGTTTCGTGCACAATATAGCAACGCTCCCCCTCCCCCGTCACGAACATCTTCATCTAAAGGAAAATCGATTTTTAAATCTGCATTTGGCAATCTTATGAAAAAAACTAAAACAACTCACGTCACTGAACAAAGCGCATTGAATGAGATTACTTTGTATTTAACATATGAAGTTGATTTTGAAGAAAATGATGACTTTGACGTTCTAGACTGGTGGAAGTCAAAAGAAAGAACGTTCCCGATTTTAGCACGGATGGCTAAGCAAGTACTATCAATGCCGGTTTCAACAGTTGCGGTGGAACAAGAATTTAGTTCGGCCGGCAACGTCCTAACGGCATCTAGATCGAGATTGAGCGCGGAGTCTCTTGAGACGCTTATATGCTACCACGATTGGTTGAAGGCCGCACGTAGAACTCAAGAATTGAGCATCACCCCCTCCCAAGATTTTATGGATGACTCAACAACCGATGGTGGCTCTACCTATGCCGGAGATTCCGATTGATTAGTATTTTAGAATTTAGTACAAAATGTATTTTATAGCACTTGTCAAATTTATTTATACTTGTACTTCATATTTCAAAATTGTAAACTTGTACTTCATATTTCAAA